AAGTCACTTTAAAATATCTGATAACTGCATTCGTTTAAGGGCCTGTTTACATAGAGAGAGGGTGCCCCGGCTAACAGGGCTAACCGACTAACCGAGGTACCCTGGGCGGGCTAACTCCTCATACGTTTCTTTGGAAAACGCTTGAAGCGTTTACATGCTAGACTGGGTAGCCCGCCTACCCGGGGCACCCTGTCTACTTGCCCGGGGCACCCGGCTAGGCGGGATAGCTTTTTATCATGTAAACGATTCGTGCCGGGCTATCCGGCTAGCCGAGGAGAGGTTAACCGCGAAAACATCAATAAACATGGCGGCCCAAGGTCAGTATTTTACGTCGTTACCATTTGCCAGTGTTATCTGCCGAAAAACATGACAGCCAGTCTGAAGAGATCAATGTAGTAGATGAGTCTCAGGCAGAGAACAGATTAGTGCCCGTGCAGGAAGCTGAAATAACCACTGTTACCAAAACAAATTCACGGCAATTTTGTTTGTTTTGCTTAGCGACCGATTGCCCACGCAGCCCACTCACTGTCTCGGTTAGGTGAGTTGCATGTCAAGGCGGGCTATGTTTCAACCCTTCTAGCCAGGTAGCCCAGTTAGCCGGGGCACCCTCCCTTTATGTAAACAGGCCCTAAGTATAGGCAGAAACATGATTTCGGGTGCGATTTGGTGTTAATAAGCAGGAGTAAATGATTTTTTTAGAGTCAACAAAATTGCACGAGCCCATAGGGCGAGTGCATTTATAGTCTTTGAAAAATTTATAAGTGCTTATTTACACCAAATTTCACAAGAAATTGTGTTGTTAATTTTTGAGAATTTACATGAAAAAAGCATCACAGAAAGTCAAGACAGATAAAATTTTGACTGCGCGCGCGCTATTGGTAATCAACACTTGTGTTACAACTTTGTACTCGTGTTACACGAAAAATGCACTTGTTTTCAGCCAATCAGACTGTCGTAATTTTTTCATGTAAATTGTTACGTAAGATATCTTTCGAATCGCAGCGAGGATGAGCTCTGTTGACCTATCTACTAGCGTTATTACTTTTCATAATCTCTATAGATTTTAAATTACTTATTGCACATACTCACTCACCCTTATATTTTGAACTCCTCTTTGCTTTCTCAGATGTGCCCGAAATCACTTGGGTAACACCTTCTCCTCATGTAGCAGTAAAAGACATCAGCGATATTCTAGAAGTAAAAATCGATAATGAAAAGACGCTTATTACTGTCGAATGGTATCACAATGGAACTCAAATAGAAAGGAAAACGGAGGGATTCACTTTCCCTGGTAAGGGACCTCATGCTAATCATGACAGCCTCGGCAATTAACGAGGGTGGGGACGAACAAAAGATCTAATCCTTGGGTAGAACAACAACTTAGCACGTGCATTTGAAATCTGTGTACATTTCCTGGTTGATCCATTGCAAAACAACAACGAGGTATCGCTAAATTTACGCATTCTGAAAACGGAATCACCGACTGAAATTTTTTTCACCTTTTTTTTAAATCCAAACTCAATGGTAGACACAGCAAAAACGTTGAGTTAGTTGTAATATACCTTGGGGAAACAAAAATTGAATTTTAAAGAGATGTTCACTCAGGCTTCGCCGTCGTGGCATCCTAAACTTCCCAGGGATCAGTTGTTCTGCCCATAATTTTTTTGCGTACTTTTCCAGGCTCCTTAAATCTCTCATGTCCTTGGTTCTATTTTGATAATAATCATGCACGATT